CACTTTAGGTCAACAAGACCAAGTCAAGTCAACTAGAAAATGACGGGTCAACAGGTCAATGATGTTCTACTCCTTTGCTTTGTGCTTTGAAAAAATTAAGATATATTGAGATCCTTGATTAGAATGACGAAAAAGATCAGTGTGTCTAAACAGAAAATTTGAAGGAAAAACAACCGATTAATTTTTTTTTTCCAATAAATATTAAATGAATCATTTTCATCAACCCTTCTTCACTCTTCAATGGATCCGAGATTCAATACATTGCATCAATGTTAGGGTTGTCCCGATGAAATGTGTGTTAGGATTCACCTGGTAGGCCAAACTTGTGGAATGATTGGTTCACACCAAAGTGGTCTGCACCAATGAAACTCCAAAATTTCTTCACCTGAAAAAATAAATCTAAGTGCAAAGAAAAAAATCCAAACTCTTTAACAAGAACCAAACTTTCTCCAAGACAAAAAATACTCCTCTTTTGTTGTATCTAACATGGATACATGAACCTAAACACTGAATTTTCCAAAAATTCACAAAGATTTAGAAATTATTAAACAGTGTCGAAGCATACCCTACAGTAGAATCAACTCACAATGCTTTCATAAAAGGTCACTGGCTAGTCTTAACATCTTCAAAAACATTAAAAGTATGTACAACCGAATTAGCATCTGCTTACCTATCTCCAATAGGTCCTAGTAGTTGAATACGATGGAATTGCAGGTAATGATGGCAAAGTAGAATTATTCATATCTTCCAAACTCAATTTAGTAGTATTTTTCAATATGGACCCGAACAAAATCTCAAAAGTATAGTGTCAAACTGAATCTCCACCATGGTATTAAATCTATACCAACTTTTTTTCACAAATTCTGTCCAGCCTTGCAAGATGTATAATTGGAACATCTTTCGCCCTTCCAGTACAACACAAACATCCTTTCAAATCCTCAAAACTCCACCTTCCCTAGAAACATGTATCCTTTTGAATCAAGAGTATTTAAATAAATGAGGTTCTTTTTCAAATTTGGAATATGTCAAATGTGATCAAGTGATTTACATGTTCCATCCACCAACTTCAATCTGACTCTACCAATACCAGCTGCCCGACAAGGTTCGTTGTTGCTCATGACAACGACACCTTTCGTCACTATTTCATATATTTCAAACAAATCCTTATTGGAATACATTTGAAACACACAAGTTGTATCCAAAATCTACTTCTCGTTAGGTTTGGATTCCATATCAGAAAATCGTCAAAATATCTCCATCACTTAAATAGTTCTGGCTGTATTGGTCTCGTTTGAAGTATTTGATTGCTTTCCATGATTTGCAATCAAAATTTGTTCTACAATTTATCGCAATCCTTTTTAATATGTCATTTTTCTTGTAATAATAACAACCTCAATTACTGAAATTTGGCATCGGCTTACCCCTTCTCCGATCAACATGAACAACAAGGCCTTCTCCATCTTTGGCCTCATATCCAACCAGATGCTTCATCTTTTCTTTTGAAGATAATGCATCATACACATCTTCATTGGTAAGAGTATCACAACTATACAAAATCGTGTCTCTAAATGAAGTAAAAAGCGGACAACGGACGCAAAAGGATTAAAGCCAAATCTTCTTTATCAAACTTTACCTCAAAAGTCTCCAAATTAGTGACAATCTCATTGAACACAGCTAGATGATCTTCCGAAAATCTGCCTTCTGCCATGCAATAAGAATACAACCTTTGATTTAGATGCAATTTATTCGTCAGACTTTTAGTCATGTACAATTTCTTTGACTTCAATTACAATGTAGTTGTCGTTTTCTTCTTCAAAACATCATGAAAAATATTGTTAGAGAGATGAAGATTAATATGTGAAAGTGCTTTCCGATCCTTCTGTTATTTCTTCTCCATCGTCCAAGTTGTGGGCATTTTGTTTGAATCCCAACAACACATCATTCAAATCCATCTCAGGGAGTACAGCTTGCATCTTTACTTACCACAAACAGAATCTTGTATTCTAATCTAAGAGCAGAATTTTATACTTCATGGCTACCATCAATAACAAAAACCTCGTACAAATCATAATTAATAGCTCTGATACCACTTGTTGGAAATAAAACGAATTGAGGTAATATATATGACACGATATGAAATATATGATCATAAACAACAAAATAAAAGTTTAAGAATTGATTGGCAGATAAACAGAGTATTTTATTTAATTGACGAATATGGTTAAAACAAACAAAATAAGTATGCGTACATAATTATTATATATTTCAGTAATACAAAACTTGTAAAAAGAGTCTATTATTTATAGGGATATATGTCAAACCTGAGAAACATCATAAAGATGGAAACAAGATTTGAAAAAAAAAATCACATGGAATAAAAGAAATAATATTTTTCCAATAAAAAAGCGTTGAATAAAGGAAATAATATATTTTTTTAAATAAAAAAGCATGCAATAAAGGAAACAATATTTTCCCCAAAAAATCCAATCTAATTTAGGTTAAAAATCCAACATAGCAATGCTATCATCTAGACAAACAGAGATCCAAGCCAGCTTCTACTCCAGTTGCCTCTGTGTTGTATTTAAGTGAATCAGAGATTATATTGTACAATTATTGCTAACAAATCTAGCCAAGTAATTATGTTTGCTAATACCACTTGTTGGAGAATAATAAGGTATATGACAAAATTGAAGTACCAATCACAATACAAGAACACGAGAGATTTGGCAAAGGAATGGAGAATTTATTAATATGGAGAAAGAATACAAAATATCGTATTTGCAATATTTTAACTCATACAAAGTCATATGAAAGCCAATAATTTTGTGGAGTATATATAAGACTCAGAAGAATATATTTTAGATGGAAATAGGATAAAAAATCGCGCTTAAAAAGAAAATAAATTTTGTTCGGATATGTTCGCTGCTCGAGCGGCATGCGGCTCTCAAACAATAATCGAGCGGTAAGTGGATGGCAACGTTAGCGCTCAGAAGCTACTTGTATGGTGCTTAGGTCCAAATTGATTCCAGACACCTTAAGTTATCCGGGCGCCCAAACGCCCAATTGCTGCTCAAAACTTCCAATACCTCTATAAAGCATTCTTCAATCAAAACACTACTTTCAACGAAATTTGGGTTAAAGTGTTAACAAATCTCAACCTTGACACAATTTTCACTACAACGAACAAAGCTTCGAAATTCTCTACCTAGAGATAAATTCGACTACAAGGAATAAACTAATGGCTTTTCAACAAAACTTTCTAACAAAAAATTCTCCTCCTCTTTCACAAAGTCTAACTAGGACAAATCCAATCAACTAAATCTAAGCACTGCTAGCAGAATTACCTCGGGAATCAAGATTTGCTCGAATTGTCACAAGCAGCAACAAAAGTCACAAAATAAATCACCACACAGGGCAAAACGACGCCCCGAAACGAAATCAATACCACAAAATGCTTTTGTAGAAGGTTCTTCTCTAGACTCAACACTTTTAACAACACTTAAAGCATACTTAACTAAATCAATTTTCCCGTACCTTTGTGGAAGCCTAATATCTCTCCTGGGTAGCAATTGAATACGATGGCACCGCTGGTGGTGGAGAAAAAGCAGTATAACTTCTGAACTCAACTGCACTATATACTTCAACATGGACTACAAACCAAACTGCAACGGTATTGTACCAAATTAAATATCCATTAAAGTACCAAACCTCTGCTGATTGATCTTCTAAGATTCTGCACGACCTTTCAAGATATACAACTGGAACCTTATCTCTCCCTATAATATAACACGGGTACCTTTACCACCCTTCAGGATTCCACCTTCACCAGTGTACTTGTATCATTTTGAATTAAAAGTACTCAAGGAGACAAGATTTCTCTTCAAATCTAGAACAAATCTCACCTCATCAAGTGTTCTGACCATCCATCGAATATCTTAATCCTGACCTTTCCAATACTAGCTTTCTTACAAAGTTTGTTGTTACCCATTACCAAGATTTCTTGTCAAACCGTTTCATATGTTGAAAACAAATCCCGAGTAGGACATACAAGAAAAATGTAAGTTGTATCAATAATCTAATTCTTGTTAGGTCAGGAGTCGTCGTAAAAAAAAAATAATAATAATAATAATAAAATCAAAAAATCAAAACCCTTCATCACTGTAGTAATTTCTGCAACATCGATTTCACCTAATGTTTCTAGTTGCTTTCCATTCTTAATTATAGCCATTTTTTCTATAATCTGTAGCTTGTAGCAGTCTTTTTTAATGGGTCCCTTCTTCTTGCAATAGTTACAAATTTTATTACCAGAGTTAGACTTTAAACTATTTCTCTCATAATCACCATGAAGAACAAGGCATTCTCCATAAGCCTTAGATCCAACGAGATGATTAATCTTTTCCTTTGAAAATAAAACATGATAAACATCCTCAACAGTGAGTGTATCATGATTACATAATATCGTGTCTCTAAATGACATATATGAAACTGGCAATGAATACAATAAAATCAAATCTAAATCATCTTTTTCATACCTAACCCCCAAGATTTCCAAATCAGCGACTATTTCTTTAAATATGGCAAGAAGATTTTCTAACAATGTACCTTCTATCATACGATAAGAATATAAACGCTGCTTCAGGTACAATTTGTTAGTTAGACTCTTAGTCATGCACAATTGCCCCAACTCCAACCATAACGTAGTTGCGATTTTCTCATTCAAAACGTCCAAAAGAATATAATTCGAAAGATGAAGATAAATATGTGATAGGTCCTTTCAATCCTTAAGTTGTTTCTATTTCATTGACCAATTTGAGGGCATTTTGTCAATTCTCAACAAAGCATAGTCCAAGCCCATATGAACAAGCACTATTTGTATCTTCACTAGCCACAACGAGAATCTTGTATTGCGATCCAAAATCAAAATATCATACTCCAAGGTTACCATCCCTAAAGGAAATCAAACTCGCGAAGAACAACGCACTTGGCTTTGATACCATTTGTTAACAAATCTAACCAAGTAGTCATGCGTGCTAACGCCACTTGTTAGAGAATAATGAGGTATATGGCAAAATATGAAATAACAATCACAATACAAGAGGTATGGAGAATTTATTAATATGAAGAAAGAATACAAAATATTGTGTTTTCAATATTATCTAACTCATAAAGTCATGTGAAAGCTAAAAATTTCGTGGTGTATATAGAGGACTCAAAAAGAATATGTTTTAGATGAAAAGATTATTAAAAACCTTGTCAAAAGAAGGAAACAAATTTTCTTGCGCCACACTAGCGGCGCATGGAGCTCAAGCAGTAGTCGAACTGCAAGCGTTTGGCAGCTTCAGTACTCTAGCGCCGCATGTATGGCACTCAAGTGCCCAAGTGCTGCCCCAAAACTTCTCATACCTCTCAAACATGTTCTATCAAAACACCACTTTCCAACGGAATTTGGGTCACAATATTAACGGTTATAAATTATCCTTTGTTCAAAATCAACATAAACTTTCATTAGGCTTTCTTCATAATTAAATAAAAAAATATGTCTACAGTGTACAGTATTTGATGAAAGTGATCAGGATTGAGTTGATTTCTATTTCTTTGGCGGTCTCTAGGATCCAATGTTTACTACAGATGAACCAATTTCATTTGCCACTGAATGGATTAGGCAGTCGAGCAACTTCATGTGTTTCGCTGAACAAGTTTAGTGTAAAGAAACACGTTTTGTATTGTTTGTAGACTGAGTAGCCTGCAAATCAATGCTCTTGCTTCATTAGCTTATGGAATATAAATACTGCAAGTTTGCAATGTGATTTTTTGTACTTTTTAAAAAAAAATAAAAAAATCCATAGATTAGAAAGCTGTTTTTTGTTCCATAATTCTCTCCAGGTAAGGATTACAGAGACATCGTTGGAAGCGCGTACTATGTGGCGCCTGAAGTGCTAAGAAGACGCTATGGGAAGGAGGTAGATGTCTGGAGTGCGGGAGTCATATTGTATATACTTTTATGTGGATTTCCTCCATTTTGGTCTGGTAAGTTCAATCACAATAATCATCTAAACTGAGGATAATTGCTTGATTTTTTTTCTATTTTTTGTGAACGCTTGAGTTCTTGTTTGTCAACGATGAAGTGCTTTAGCATTTATTCATCAGTGTGATGATGCACCTCATAGGTAATGACTTTTCCAGTGATTATAGAACACCGTGGAAAAATAAAAGTCGGGTTTATCTTATCTATATTAATTATTCTCCACCACCAATACGGCAAATTAATTGGCTTAAGAATTGTGTTGTGCTTCAGAGACAGATAAAGGAATACTTGAAGCAATTTCAGATGGTTATGTGGATTTCCAAACTTCACCCTGGCCTTCTATATCAAAGGGTGCAAAGGATCTTATCCGGAGAATGTTGACGATGGAGCCTAAAAAGAGGATTACTGCAGCCGAAGCCCTTGGTATGCAAAACAAGTCTTTCTGTTGTTACTTTTCTGTACTGGAACTCTAAATGAAGAATTTTTTTTCGAGCAGCAGATAAACTGGATTCGAGTAAAAATAAGTTTTTTAAGACTCTAGAGCAACTACCTTTATTTTATCCAAAGTTTTAATATTTTTTGATAATGATTTGTGAACCAGAACATCCGTGGCTCAAAGAAGACGGTGAAGCATCAGATAAACCTATTGATAGTGCTGTTCTAATCAGGATGAAACAGTTCAGAGCAATGAACAAGCTGAAGAGACTTGCATTAAAGGTATATTAAGATTGGCAATTTTTTAAACGTTTTCAGTTAAGGAAGAGTACACAGCCTTTCAAAAGATTAAAAGGATAAAAACTAACAAAACTCGAGATACCTCCTTTTGGAGCTTCCTCATAGCTGAAATTTGTATTGGCCTTAAGGTTATTGCAGAAAACCTTTCAGAAGAAGACATCAAGGGATTGAAACAAATGTTTGAAAACATGGACACCGATCGAAGTGGTACAATTACATTTGAAGAACTCAAAACAGGGTTGTCTAAGCTAGGCTCAAAGCTCGCTGAGGCAGAAATACAACAGCTAATGGAAGCTGTAAGAATTTTACTAGTCTCATATCTCCTTCTGTTAGTATATATCTACACTTTCCAATTCATGTACTCGAGTTGATATAGTTTTATCAATGATACTATTCGCGTAAAGCCATTATAGAAATTCGAGATATTGGATGATGTTATTTCTACTTCCAGGCTGATGTTGACAAGAACGGAACTATAGACTACATTGAATTTGTTACTGTGACCATGCATCGGCATAGACTCGAGAAAGAAGAGCATTTGTACAAGGCTTTTCGGTATTTTGACAAGGATGGTAATGGGTATGTATTTGTGTACTGAGTGATGAATATCAATACTAAAGTAAATCAGATATCACTCGTGATATCAGTAATTCTAGTTGTCTTATAATTATTTGTTTTGGATTCAACAGATATATTACCAGAGATGAGCTTAGACAAGCAATGCAACAATATGGCATGGGAGATGAAGCTACAATCAACGAGGTTATTGATGATGTAGATACTGATAGAGTAAGTTATTCTTCTTTGAACTCATCGGCTCAAGGTGATTTTATTTTATAATAATTCGCGCATTAGGGGGTAATTAATCCATTTTTACTTCACAGGATGGGAGGATTAATTATGACGAATTCGTAGCTATGATGAGAAAGGGAACTGTGGACAACTAAGACGAGTCAGCAAATTGGCGCTATTACGAGAAAGGGAATTCTGGAGGACAAAGATTAGCTAGTTAATATTCTTGATGTATATCGCGTGTGATGTACTCATACTGTACAAAATTTGATGCATATGGATAAGAACAAGATTTCACAGGCACTTATTTTCTCTATTTCTGAGTTTTTGCGCTTCTAACATCCCGAAATAAGAATGTTATAAGCGAGGCTCAAGATAATGGTAAGCAAAATCGCATGCAAATACAGGGTTATAAGTACGTATCAGAAGTTTCGATCTTTCAACTGAAGAAGATAATTTGAAGAAACCGCTCAGCTAAATTCACTTATTCTGCTTTCAAGGTTTTCCCTACATCGATAACATCAGATTTCGAAAGTGGTTCCATCACGTTTTTGCATAATCCATTAGAGTGATGACGTCCGGCAATATATAGTGTTCGGCTGCAAAATTAATCATCACCTGTGTCTCTTTCAGTCCCCCAATCGCACTGCCAGCCACCATCTTCGACCCCATTTTAAGCAAGGGGAACATCGGCAGCTCAACCATGATCAGCTTTCCATCAATCTTCAAGAAAACTGCAGAGACAGTATCAATTATCCCAAGATCCAATGTCCCAACCGCAGCCTGCATTTCCTTTTGCACCCCGGCTAATCAAAAAGGCGTCAGCACCTGCCCCTCAAGCCAATGATGCCTATCTGCAGTCAGGCTTGTCAAGTCCATAGCAGCGTCAAGGGGAAAGTTTTTGGGCCAACGAATATTCAAGTGTTCATTAGCCACCATGATATCAGAGTAACCGCCTTGTGCGCTGGTGCCATCTACATCCTTACGGCTATCAGTTCACCGCAATAATTTTCGAGACCGGCATTCCTCACATGATCCGACCAAACATCCAACGCCTAATTTGTCTCCAACCTCAACTTTCTCGACCTGGTTACCAGCCTCTGTAACCACACCGACAAGTTCGTGCCATGCACAACTTATGTGCGCGGGAGAAAGGAAGGATTAATCCACCTAAGTCGACCAGAATACAAGCCTATTACTGCTATCTATTATGATTCTACACTAAATTTTTTACAATATGGTGCTGGCTTACCTTCCCGAAGTAACTGTGCCGGAGCTGTTTACCACTTCCATATGTAGTTATAGTCCTTTTGGTATTGAAGTGGGAAGCTCAAGGGGCTAACTTCCCATAGCAGCAAAACAGCTTTCATAAAAATTCTCGTAAAATCGGAAATGAAGGGGGTGTTCTCTTTGTGTTTCAGTTTTGTGTTTTGAGTTTTGAATTCATTTTGAGTTTTGTGTTTTGAGTGTTTGTTTTGAAATTGTTGAAAATGCGTTCTTTTTGTTAGTTTCTCAAAACAAAAAAAAAATGAATTTTTTTTTTTTTGAAATTTTGAGAATCACCACAACACCACCTAAAAAAAAAAAAAAAAAAATTTAAATTTTGAGAATCACCACACCACCTCCTCAAAAAAAAAGTAATAATAAAATAAAATTAAAAAATAGAGGGTGTTTCCCGTGTTTTCAATTTTTTCAAGTTTTACACTGAAAACGCCCAAAACGACAAAAAAGTCGTTTTGTGTTTTCTTCACAAATTTTTTTTTCGTTTTCGAAAATTCGTTTTCGAAAACGGGAAAGAGAACACGTTTTCACCGTTTTGAAAAATCGAAAACAAAAAACGGCCCGAAAACGTTAAAGATAACAGGGCCGAAGTTTTCTAATTTCCATTTTGTATCACATTTCTCCTTTTATTTTGTACGATTTCTACGCAACTTAAAAAAAAATGATGGTACGCCAATTTCTAATATGCATAATATTAAAGGGGAAAGTATTGTATATAATCAAGAAAACACGTAATTTAACCATTAGGCAGGCACTTCCCAAAGAATAATTGAATTTGTCAGTAAATTTCCAACATTTAGAACACAACAATATACAGAGACAAGGTAGAAGTACGAAGTACACAGGACATCTTTCTTTAGCTGAAAACTCATTCACTTTTTCTCTCATAATATAATATTCTTGATAATGTAACCCTCTTATTTCTTCAGGTAAGAGGCAATATTTCCTACCTTAGTACTATAGTAGAAAGATACAAAAGCCTGTCAAAATTTAAGAAGCATCAGCTGTAGGATCAGTATTGTTTGAGAAAGCACCGTCCATATATTAGAAACCTGTAAGATTTTGGTCAAGAATCAAGTTGCTATGAATGTAAGACGCATAATTAACTCAATTCCACGTATTCATCGTGTCAAATCATTATAATAGAGTGCGAAAAAAAAAATAAAAAATTCCACGTTTCATTTGAATAAAAATGAAAATTTGGAATTGATGAATCAAAGACAAAACAAGAACAACAATTTCAAATAGAAAAAGATGTGGTCCTGTGTGAATCAAGACCTAAAAAACCTGATTTCAGAAACAGATGTGAAGACATTGTCAGTTCCTTGTAGATAACAAGAACGGGCAAACAATGCCCTTTACACACTTCCCGTTAGGCCAAATTAAACAATCAACATATGTTGTGAGCCCTCAAGGCGCGATATATTATAGATTTAGAAGGAGAACCAGAAGATGTTTCCAATGGATCATCTGGAAAGCAGTTGACCACTTTATCAGATCCTACAAATTACATACAGTATTATTATGGACTAATTTTAACTTCATGCTTGGCCAGTTCAAGTTATCTTGACATGATTACAGAGACAAGAAGTCTAATTACCAACTAGAAAGTGATTCCACAAGTATGTAACTTAAATATTTGTTCAAATACAATGCCTTGCTAAAAAAGGGCAAAGATTAACAAGACAGGCAAAAATGCCAGCATCTGCATCAGCATCATCGCAGACCCCTAACTTGTATATATTAAGAAAAATATGAATGTAGGTTGTAACAAGGCGAATTTTAATTTGGTAATTTCTCAATGGCTTTGTTGTTCGTTAAGGGAGATGAGTGAGGAAAGGCACTGAATTGAAGAAAGTTTCCTCAAACATGAAAAAGAAATGATGCAATGTGGCTGCAATTAACTACCACAGATTTGAAGGTACCTTACAAATTTGCTAGATCTTGTATTCGCCAACATGTATCCACTTGGTGGATGACCACTTATTCCCTTTGATAACTGGGCAACCTCCTGGAATCAAATTTCAACACATGATAATTAGGAACTCTAAAGTCTAGCTCTGTCAAAGGTATAAATGTAAGCCCCTGATAGTACACAATTTTATTTTATTTTTTCCCCTGAAATCGAATTAGAACATTTTCATTTTTCACTTCCAAACTAATATTTCTGTTAACACTTTTTCTTGCTCTGTCTTTGATAACTAAAAATTGTGAGTGCAGACCAATAGAACTCACCATGCAAGCTTGATGGATCTAAAGAGGCATCAGGTCTCATGCTCCAGAAAAGCAACGCATCACCCATTTTTGGTTTAACTGAAAGACCTCTTTTAGCACATTCCGACATTTCATTCCACCCTGGCACCGAGCTAAAATTTCCCTTCGCAGCAGGAAAAACTGTCTCACCCCCTTCTTCAACATCTGACCTGATTAGTTGGAAAGGAACCAGAAAAGGAACAACAGAAACATTATTAGGACTTTATTAAAAGAATAAGTACCACAAATTTTAACCATTGTGAGTGCACTTACAAATACATTAGAACCGTAGCTATGCGTTGGCCCCCATTTTTAGTGTTGAATTCATCAAGAAAGTAATCAAAATGAGGTTCGTATTTTTGCCCTTCTTCATAGTGCAGAACTTGCAGACCCTCTCCATGCTCTGAGAATTCAGTTTAAGTTTGATCAATCAATGATCTGCAGTAAGTCATATGAACGAAGAGAATACTAGAAGTTTGGATATATTATGAAAAGGGGATCATGTGATGCCCTGCTAACAACATGGGCAGCAAAAGAAAGGGAAAGTTGAAAATTTCTAAAAATTTCAATTAGTCTACGATTTATTCCATTACCAAAATTAGTAACTAATCAAATTGTTTGAATTGTGAGAAATAACATGAAGCCAAGATGTGTGAAAACAAATTGAAATATGCACTATACAAATATAACTGCTAATCCATTACAATATCATAGATTGTTAATCTAGCAGCTACCAAGCAGAGGTGTGAAAGAAGAGGATGAACTAAGAGCAAGACATCAGGGGCAGCTGAATGTATAACAGCAGAAGCCAACTCAAATTGTGTACATCCTAACGTCAGTACTAAGCAAAATGATAGTTTGTCCAGTAGCTGTTTGTTTTCATCACTTGAAAGAAAAAGAAAAAAATTGTGTCTCCCGAGATAAGGCAAATCATAACATGGAAACTTACCACATCTCTAAGTATCTTGCCTTTATTTCACTGCACTGTAACATAAGTTCATTTTAATCTAATTGTTTCTTCTGAAATTGAACAGGTCACTTCTGTCATTTTCTTTGCAAATTATGCAATTCATATGCAAAAACTTATTTCTGAGAAGCCTTTTGGCAACTAGAAATCAAGTACCATCTCACAATATCATGCACACCTAACAACTATATGATGTTTATCAACTGTGTATATATTAGACAAGGTCTCCCAACCTTCAATGTTATAAATCTTCAAATGTATTAACTGAAAGGAGGCTTCTAGCATGTTATTTGCACACATAATCATTATAAAATTTGTGAGAGAGGGAGAAAGGACTTTTAGTAAAAAGAATAATTTTCTGAACCAGAAAAACAGCAAAACATGACCTATTAAATTGTACTGATGTGAGTATCACACCTGCAGGTATGAATAATTCTCGGTACCAGAAAAACAGCAAAACATGCCCTAGTAAATTGTATTGATGTGATTTTCATACCTACAGGAATAAACGTATAGTCTGCTATTCTTTTTTCAATAGCTCTGATCACTTTATCTCGTCCCCTCCTCAAAAACATTCCAGAACTTGTGCGAACCCTACAATATAATGTTGTTAACAATAAGATTCCAGATTAAGGGAGAAAATAAAATTAACTGATTATAATAAACTCCTGCTTGTTCAAATGAAAGCATATGAAAGTAATAGAGGGATTCAGGAAGAGCAAACCTGCTATCCTTACTCTTCCCAGTTTTGCTATCTACAACGGTTGACTTTTCCATGTGAGGCTTGGCATGATTAATCAAATACTCACATTCTTCTTTGGACTGTTAGTCAATGCATTATAAAATCAGTTGAAACAATAGTTCAGATAAATTGGTTTATAACTTAAACAACATATGGTTGCACGAAACTAAGTTCTTAATATCATAATCCATAAAATGCATGTTCGAAATCAAATACAAGCATTTCTAAATACAGTTCCACAGCCCTGATTCTATGACACCTATAGAGCACGGTTAATCTATCTAGATTCTAATTACAAATGGGATCCAAGAAACACATCAACACGGAACTAACGTGATCAAATACGATGAAAGCGCACTGAATCGTAGCTTGTTTGCATTTTGCCTTCCTAAAAGAAGGGTGTTTGTAATTCAAAACAAAGCTCAAGAAAATAGCACCAAAGAAATCATAAAGGAAAAATAGTAACACGGGGAAGAAAATGGCATAAACCCATAATTGGGACAATCCGATTGTTCACTAGCATTTTTCCTCCTAATATTACCAGCAGAAGTTATTCTACATGAAGAAAATTTGTCGAGAACGAAACTCACCAAGAAATTGTGGTAGACAAAAGCCCTGGGCTCCCACGATAAAATCTCCGTCCACTGCTCGCCCCTTTTTCCCAATCCCTCCCCTTCAGCACTTCTGCCTCTATCGCCCAAAAAATATTTCCACAAAAATCGTAAACAATAATGCACACCAAAAACAAACACACAAACAGAGAGAAATAAGAAAAAATTACATGTCCAAGTTCAAGCGCTTCAGTTTGATGCGATCGCCGATGGACGAATCTTCGTCGGAGCCGATGGGGAGAGAAAAGATCCCTAAAGCCAGAAGCATTAATAGCACTATCGTCAACATTAACAGCATTGATAGCACCAACGCCACCGTAGAGGATCTCTTCCCTTGATGCCGGATTCCCCTCCCCTTCGCCATTTTTACTAAAGAAAAACCAAAACAAAAACCCTAGCAAAAAATCGAAAATTCAAATCAAATAATTCAATATAATTTTGGGAATTGATTTGAAGAAGGAATCTTGTAAAGATTTGTTGAATTGCTGGACTAAGGGGGTGATGAACTTGAAAACGGAAAATCGAAAAGACAATATAGTACTTGATATTTGTTAAATTTACCAGTTAAGTTGGTGAGTTAACGAGTTGACGCGAGGGTATATATGTCACTGTGCTTTCGCTCTTCATTTTTCAATTTCTGGTTCCTACTGACTCTGGGCAGCACGTGGATTAGTAGAACCCTGAAATCAGACTCATTTGCGGAAATTGGAGCGAAAGGTATCAAACCTTTTTCCTTCTTACGTTTGGGTCTCAAGCCTTTCGATTTTGGCACTGAGGTCCTTAACCTATGCCATTAGGTGCATAATTAGTCGATTTTGGTTCTTAGTTTTGCACATGAACGTGAAATTCCTTTTATTTTATTTTATTGCAGGGACAGATTTATCAAATTTAAGATAAAATAAAATCAGGAAAAAAAAGAAATTAATGAAAAAAATATAAAAACAAATAAAATGAAACCATTTTCTTCCACCCCACAATACCATTGCATGGGGAGAAGTGCTTCTCCAATATCCTGTGACCTAATTTAAGAAAGAAATTTCTCTCGTTCTCCATTTGGTGTAAGAATCAAAAGTATTGAAAAATAAATTTATAGTAGCGAAGCACTACAGAAGTCAAAAAGATAATAAATGAAGGATGAATTTGAGAAAATTACCTTCCATCTTAAATGTTTATCTATTATGCCTTGAAAATTCATTAAAATGTGTTTAGAAGTTAGTCTGACTTTATGAATCAAAATTTGAGAAATTTATCATTTTATTTTAATTAGAAATTGAGGAGGAAACTCGATTTGAAATAAATGTTTGATGGCTAAATTGAATTAGATAAGAAGATTACGAATTTTGTTGGGACTTGATTGCAATTAACAAGAAAAAGTTGGATTTCAAAGTCAAAGTTAGAAAATGTATGATTCTTATCGAGCAGCCTAGTTTCGAGACGTCATAAGAACTGTGCATTTACCTTTGGCTTTCGTATGTTAAAAAATAAAAAAAGATTGAACCCCCACCTTGAGGATTCCCACCGCTCTGTTTCTGGAGTATTGTGAGGGAAGTAAATTGCGAGTTGTGCCCTAGCAGGCCAAGGAACAAGAGCTTGTCTTACACTGGTGCCTACAAAGAGTTCAATTTCATATTTCAAAAATTGAACTCTCACACTACGACTGCCAGCAAGACTGAAACTACCTCACTCCAACCCTTTGCACCACTGGGTTACGCCTGGGGGGGCATTTGGCTTTCGTATGTTAATGATATGGGAAGTACACATTGAGGCCTTCGTTTTAGTACCCAATTTGAATATTTTGATTTAATTTGATACTGCAAAATTCGTTGCAATATGGACTTAGAGGATGTATTCCAGCAATAGTATAATCAAATAACCATCTTTAAGTCGATCTTATGATAGTTATAATTGTTTGTTTAATACGATTCTTCTTGTGCTACGAAGCTCATAATGTGCTCTTCGAGACGTTGTATAGAGTGTCATCTACGACCTGTGCATGTGCCTCGAATAGGCCAGGAAGCATGACGAAGACTACAATAAAGGAATTGAAATGAAAGTCAGGAATTTTAAAAGGAAAAGCAGCAAAGACCATAACTTTAATTCTTAATAGAAATAGGAACTCTCATCCATGATCAGATTAATTTGCTATATTCATGCATTTATCGCATTTATGAAACCACTTTTACTAATGGATCGATACAAAATGGATTCTTTCAACAAATTCTCATCGAGAACAAAGATTTATAATTATTTTTAAGTATTAATTTTTGAAAATAGAAATTATTTTATATTTAAATAGTCTCTTCAAAACACTCTTGATTTGTTCACATCCCTACACGCTCTATTAATTATAATCAATATGTTCCAACCGCATTCTCGAAACATGCCGCCGGCAAATTTTACAATTTGAAATCCATGCCATGTTTCTTATAATATATTCAAGAGGATTCCAGTCAAAGAGACGCTATATTCTCAACAAAGACAAAGTCAAAGGATAATTTTTAACATCAGCAGTGTCAATTTCCTTTGTGCGTTGGCTACATTTAATGGAACTAAGCTCTTGTTCAGTGGGGATTAAAATTAACTTGTTCAGTGGGGATTAAAATTAACTTTTTAGTAATTTTTTTATAAAAATTAATGAAATGTGTTATTAAAAAGTTGTGGCCCATCAAACACATTGTTAAAATTTACTGTTGACTTTGACTTAAATTAAAATTTTAATTAATAAAATAAGATAACAAAAGAATATTATTCATTTCTGGAACACGACATAAGATAGTTGTAACAATTCTAATTTATTCAACATTTTGACAAAAAAAATGATATTGTTAATCTTTTTTAGGAATCAATCCGTTGAAAATACAGACAAAATGTGCAAAAGAACATAGAAACCGAAACCATTTTTTTTTTTGTCCTTTTTGGTTTGAAAGTCATAGGTATATTTAATTTTCATGTCACATAACTTCTTTGTGTTCTTGTTATTCTGGCACTTTATGTAAACACCATCCAATAATATACTAATGATGTCATAATTATAGAGCCTGTTTGGGCCCCATTTTTTCACCCAAAAAATTGATTTTTTGACCGTTATTTCACTATTCCAACCGTCATTTTTGACTTCTTCTCTCACAAGTGGATCCCACTTTTCTCCTAATGGTCAAAAAATCAATTCTCAAAATCACTCCCAAACAGGCTCATAATGATTTTTAAGTTACTAAAATTTCTTGTCGAGTAAATTTTGACCCGCAGAAAAAACGTTACAATCTGGACACAATCACACATTTAGGAGCCATTTGGTACCTATTTTTTTCAAAATACATTTTTATCTCTCTTCTTTTCAACCACACATTCTTTATTAAAATAATATTATATGTAAATAAAAAATATTTCCTTATTTTTCAACCACACATTTCTCATTAATTTACTATTGAAAAATACATTTTTACATAAAAATAGCTCTCAAACGCCGCGTTACTATATTTGGTTAAAGTAATCAAAAATTGACAAATCTAAACTTTTTATATGTTGATTTTTTGTTGTACGGCATACATTCAGCATTTGACTTGGCCCATTGAATGAATATTTAGAATTCTGTAGTAATACAGAGGGATAAAAACATGTTTCAGAATAAGCTAAGTTTTATTATTAAATTAATAATAAAGCTTATTTAATCGGTCTTATATTTTTCTTCTGACCAAATCATGCTTGGAGCTTCTCTCACTATATATTGGGATAATTAGAGAGTGAGACTGAGAAAGCTTAATATAGCAAAAATGGAGAAGTCTCGAGCAACTAATAAATCAAAGAACAAGATTTTAGGGTTTCTACCAAAAGCAGCAGTTTCATTTCAAAATCCTATTTTCTGCTCTGGTAAAGATAAGAGACCAAGTGGAACAAATGCTAAGAAAGTTAAAAGCCATTTCAACGGAGGGTATTCCGCCCTGATTATGTCTATAATTCCAGGTGAAGCTCGATCAGGGAAATCAAATAACACACAAGAGCCAACTTCACCCAAGATTTCATGCATGGGACAAATCAAGCACAAGAAGAATCTGTGTAGAAACAAGTACGTTTCCTTGGCTAAAGAAATCGAGCCCAGAATCAAGCTCATCGGGCCGCTGCCGGAGCTGGAGAAGAAACAATCAACGCTTTTGAATATCATGACCAGTACTGTAAAGCCCGAAAGAAGAAAACACGATGCATCAGTTGATCAGTGTAATAGACCGCCTCTACTTGATCGGGCTCCGAGTATCAGCCAGACGAACCGGTTTTCCAGCAGTCGAGATTCTCATACACTGGTGAATTTTGATTGGAGAACTGCACAGATTGAATTGGAGGAACGGGAATACTATTCAGAGGGAGAAGAACATGAAGTAAATATTCCTTTCACAGCGCCACTATTGATTTCCGGAAGTGGTCCCGGCGGAGGCAGGGTGGCGGTGGAGCCAAGGAAGGAAATTAATTTGTGGAAAAGAAGAACCATGGCTCAACCTAAGCCTCTCCAGTTAAACATGGTTAGAGCTCATTAATTAGATGAGAAATTATGGACTTAATTATGTTTTTTAATCCAATTTTTCCTTCTTCCATTTCAAGATTAATAATTTCATTTTTGTAATAATGAGATGATGTACAAAAATGTTCATTTATATAATTTATGTAGCACGAATTAAATTACTAGCCAATTAATTGATATGTCAGGTTACCGTTACTTAACTTATACTTTGCCATAAAATTCCGGCACCCTTGACCCTTAAATTTGGTGGGATGTAGCTAATTTGGATATCAAAATTTCTTATAAAGGAAATTGCACTACATGTCAATTTTTTGATTTACATTTTCAAATATGTCACTTTTTGAAAGTCTTTGCAAGATTGTCATTTTTGGACATTTTTACCCCTCTACAGAATTTAAATGCCCACAAGTCCTTTAGTTGACAACATAAAAAAGTTGTACTAGAAGGGAAAATGTTCTACAAAAAGTGGAAAAAAATTTGACAACCAATTACTTTACAATTGTACATGAAAATTTTGGAAAAACAAAAAAAAAAAATTAAAAAATTAACAAACCCAAAACCAAACCACGATTTTAGGGATAAACCAGCAGTTCAATAGAAACAACCAACCCCTGGCATCAACATTCACGAGAGAACATATCACCTCGCATTACCCACGCTAAAGCAAAACCCACTATCCCGACGATTCAAAACCCCGACCTTGACTCCCTTTTGCTGCCAATTCAACGATTGGGAAGGAAAAGTACTCGAGAGGAACCTCCCACTTCTCATTACCTAACGTTGAAGCAAAACCCAGTAACCCCACAATTGAAAATCCCACAGCTGACTCCCTCCTATCGGTGATTCAACGATTGGAAAGGAAAAATCACAATCTGCAAAACTGCAAACGATTGGAAAGGGAAAATAGAAAACGATTCAGCTTGCTCCCATCTCTTGTTGTTTCTACTTGTTTCCAGTCCTCCACAGTTGATCGTCAATTGCAGTTGAAGCCCTAAAC